TAATTCTGGGAAAGAGTACTACTTCTGAAGTCCTGATATTAATCAAGAAAAAATGCTGCTGAATCAAATCTAAATATTTATTACATTTTTAGTCGTTAACCTGCTTCCTGACCAAGTACCTCTGCAGATTCTTGCATTAGAACAGTCTGGCCATTTTTGTGTAGCTTGTTTAAGAACTGAACTTTAAACAGCAATAGCTTCATCTGTAACCAGAAAACCAAACAAAGCTGTCTCTGCAAACTGTTCAACAGACCATTATAAATATACTGAGATATTGTAAGTGAAGTTTGTGCTTCTTAACTTTGACCTTCTAAGAATAACAAAAAATATAACATTTCTAGGATTTTCCCTGCTTTAATACCAAGATGCTTTCTCTGAGCCCTCACATCATATATTTTAACTGTGTTTCCCAACTCAAAGACTCTGCTCTCGCTGTCCCTGAGCAACAAGAGATGAATATACTATCAGAAACACAAGAGCTGGCAAACTGCAAATACCACAACAGAGGCCATCATTAATACCCAATGCTTTGGGTCAATGGCATTAACTGCATTTATTATACTTCAGATGGTTTAGGGTAACAGACAAAATGGATGTGTATATTTTATGTTCTGGATGACTAACCAATTTCATCTTTCTAAATGGATGAGTGGTTTCAAGGTTTATGAGAAGCAACACTAATGCTATAAAGTCTGCGAGGGAGCCATTTGTAGTGAAGCCAAAGCCGCAAACTTTTATAATCTTTTTTCCTTTTGTTTAACCCTTCCACCTGCTGCTCCGTCTGCCTTTTTTAGTCAAATGAACCGTATTTGTTAAGGTAGTTTTGGCTTCTTGCATTTACTGCCTTTAGAACGTGCATCAGTGAAGTCATTAGCACCACGTGAGCAGTAAAGGACCTTCCAAGAGACTTCACCAAGGAAAAAGACTTCTTGAAATGAAGAGATGAGCAAACTTCACAGGGCACCTCCAGCCTCTTGAAAGCTGAAAGACATTGGTCACATCTACATGCAACCTAACAGAGAATTTTCTCCCAACTGTGCAAGTTTGTCTCAGTAAAGCACTCAGGAATTGTTTTCCTCTTGGCACCGCACTCTTTCTGCTGCAGCTGATGAGAGCACTGGGAGAAGGACACAGCTGTGCTGGAGGACAGATGGAAGTGTGGGCTTCCTGTTCCTACACACTGGTGATACCAGCCGAGGTTGACTGGTGGAGAGGTGGGACTGGGCAGTCACCGCCTTTCTTCTCCTGCTCCCCTTTACTGGGCACGTGGCATCTTCATCCATACACACATCAAGGTTGCAATGCAACCACAGCTTCATATCCACCACACAGTAGGTAAAGGAGAAAGTGTAAGAGCAGAGGGAAAGACAGTGCAAATGGTGTGACTTTGGGAGGACAGTGGCGGGGGGATGTTTGCCCATTGGCTTTTTCAGCTTAGCAGCTGAACGAAAGAGGATGACACAGGCTTGCTGTGCCTTACCACGGGCAAAAATAGGCCAGATCAGCCCAGATCCATCCAAGCTCGCTCTCTCTGGTACAGCTGCCCGTGTGTGGGTGGGAGATGTGCCAGGCCTAACCCGTCCAGTGGGATCCGCACCATCTCAAGGTTTCTAAGCAGCATAAGGTGATTTCAATTGTGCCCCTGCCTGGACAAGGCTAAAGCCAATCAATCTTTTAGATTAAGCATAATTTATGTCCACACAGTTAACTGCATTTCTTCTCCCAGGTACAGACATATAAAAGCAATTTGCAGCTGATTCTGGAATTTTAATTACGTTTTATCTGCTTTGGTGAAATCTAGATCTTTGAATTATGAAATATTTATTCTTATCCTTCATTTGGAATTTCCTGACTCTTAAATATAGCTTATATTAAAATCACAATGTCCTAAATCTCACACCTTAATTCTACCTTAAGAATATTTTCGTTTCAATATCTACAAACATATTGACTAGATCTTGATTTTTCAATGTAAAGACAATAAATTCCACAGCACCTGCACATATGGAAACAGCCTGCAGTACAAAGATGAAAGCTGTTAGTCAGGTCAGCAACCACTGACTCAAATAAAAGAGATAATAAACAAAAGAGATGATAAAAAGTCAGTCCAAATAGATAGAAGGGGGTACTTTTCTAACAAATAATACTATAAACTTGATGAATCTCCGAGTTTAACATGTTTAATTCAACATCAATAATTCAACTCAGCTGACATATGACTTAATACATCTTTACTCTCCTGTGGAGACTAAGCAACATACATTTGGATTCAAGCAAACTGTTCTATATTTCAAGCCTGGAAAATTTTATTGGGACATATATTTCTCTTTTCAGCTTATACACTCTAGGCAACATAAATAACGTTGATCTTCCATGGAAGACGCCTTGTTGGACTCTGCTTTCTGCAGTTTTTAAATGAAGATGCAGGCTTTCTAGATTAATTGTATTGGACATCTTGTGGCCAAAACTC